TGTGTGTGTGTGTGTCAGTCCCCTGTGCAGTTCAGCTGATGTGTGCTCTTTTTATGCTTAATCTTTCCTGATCTCACAACAGCTCGCTTTGAGCAATCCTAATAGTCTACAACAGCATTTAGCTGAAAATTCTCAAGGTCAGTATCACAGAGCCAGATTCATTCTGAACAAAGGGTGATGCATGCTTTCATTTATGCCAAGCAAGAAGGTTTTTGTTAGAATTGTGGGGTAAAACTAGATCTTATATTTTTCTGAAGAAAATGCAAATTTTTTGCCCAAATTGTATGTTTTTCTGAAGAAAATTAATCGTTTTTGGCCAAATTTATTTTATTTTATTTTATTTTATTTTTTAAATTCCATCCACTTTATCACGTGGAACAGTAATTGCACACCTCTCCTCCTTTTTTTCCCTTTGGTAATCTTTATATCCATAGTACAAGAGGTGAGGTCAGGTTATATATGTTAACCTTAAAAGTATGTTTATATGATTTTTAATAAGTATGAGTATGAATAGTAATAGTGTTGTCTGCCTTTGTTAGTATGTAATTTGGTAATTTGCAACATTTATCATGGTTTATTTTAGTGAATTTAAACTGTCAATTCAGTCTCAATTTCATAGGTTTATGCAACCTTGACTCTTGCCTCTCTTGTAAAATGTGAGCAGATTGGTTAGCAAGTTACTGCGGGTATCAAACAGAGAAGCGGTGTGAGCAACATTTTACCACACCGCCGTCCTCAGCTGTCATTATTTAAACATGCTATCTGACCTTTGACCTGCAGCACCATGTGACAGACTTGAAAACCTCACACAGTGGCGAACGAGCGCTCTTTCATTTAAGCACAAAGAACTCTCAAAGGAAAAGAAAGAGCGTTTGAGTCAAGGGAAAAAAAACAATACTTAACCTGGTTATGAAAGACAAGGTCATAATCTAATATTAAAAATCTTGGATGGGAAATTGGAAGGAAAGGATGATAAAGGATTAGGTAAGCGTGGTTTAATTTGCGCTGTCCCCGTCGGGCGTCTGGGCGGTGGCGGGGCGGTACGGGACCAGGAAGAGGGGGAGAAAGGTTAGCGACGCACGGTTAACCTGCTGCTATCTGAACCACCTCCCCTGACGTCTGATTTGCCTGCTGATGTTAATGCAGCACAAATTGGACTGGAATTTGAAATTAATGTAAGTGAAGGAGATATATGCAAATTAGATCTGTGAGGCCCACAGAGAAACCGAATGGCCATGGGTTATAATTTAAAAGCAGTTAGACAAGGTGATCTAGTATTCACTTTGTAGCATTATTGGTTTGTTGACATCAGTGTGGCATGGGTATCAAACTATGAGAAATCTTATATCGTGTTACTCGTCTATATTTTCACATTACATTAAATTACATGTTTTTTTTTATCAGTCTGTAAGTTTCTTTATGTTTAAGTAATGTAAAGTATCAACTGACAGAAAGAGAGTCTCCTGTCTCTTTCTGTCTTTCTAATGGCGCTTTTCCACTGCATGGTACGGCACGGCACGGCTCTGTACGGTTCACTTTTGGGGGGTTTTCCACTGGGTACAGTACCTGGTACCTGGTACTTTTTTTAGTACCACCTCGGTTGAGGTTCCAAGTGAACCGTACCGTTACCAAAACGTGACGTGTAAACTCTGCTGATCACTGATTGGCCGGAGAGAATCGTCACTACCTGCGTCACTGAACTTGCGACACAAACACAACAGAACCGCTAGATTTAAATCAGCACAGCCAGCGAAGGATCGAACGCAACGGTTTTGAACAAGCGCACCTTTTTTAACAACCAAAAAGTGGCTGTTTCATTGTCTGTTGAGGAAGTACAGACGTTCCTCTCGTTGATAGCAGAGGAGCGGATCCAGCGAGCTTGATGGGGCGATACGGAATGAAAAACTTTTTTCAGGAGTCGCGGCAATAGAGGCAGTGCAACTATAACGACATGTGAATAATCCCGCCCACTCTAAAGCGGTACTGAACTGCAGTGGAAACGCAAACCGAGCCGAGCCGTGCCGTGTCGTACCGTACTGAGCCGTGCCGAGCCGAGTCGTACCACGCAGTGGAAAAGCACCAAAATATGCACAGTTTTTCAGATCTAAATATATGCCGCTGTTGTCTTGCCTCATGCTGGCACATTTCCGATGCAGATTGTTTGGGTGTTTGGGACATTAAACACTAGTGGTGTGTCTTTCTTCTGCAGTTGTTCAAGTGTTGTTTGCTGTGAGCATGTGCCGCTCGGAGAGACAGATATTCATTGTTCTTTCAGACTGCAGCTTGGAAATAGTGACAGACAGTGGAGCATCAGAGAAACATATGGGTCTATTTCTATAAATGCTGAATAAATGATAAACCACATTGTGTTTGACCAGACGTTTCATGTTTCAGTGATTCAGCTGTTTTTATTTTATTTTATTTGAAATGTATTTATATTATTTATTTTCCCCCCATTTTTTAACCACACTTCAAACAAGCTATTATAGGTGTAAGACATTGCCACTTTAGCATTAACCATTACTAGTTCAGTTCTGTTATGTTCACACTTACATGGGTTCAATGTAAAAGTAATTGTCACTAACCTGAAGTCAGTGTTTATGTGCCCTGTCTCTGTGGTGACAGGCCTCTCGTCACAGATAGCAGTCAGTGAAGGTGACCCGTATGACACTGGTCTCTGTGGTATGTAGGTTCTTATATTAGAATCGATGAAGATGAAATTGAGTCTTTCAGGTCACTGAACACAAAGGTCAGGAGAAAAGCCAAGCAGAAAGGATCATCAAATCCTTCATTTGTTATATATTTTTCATTTGATAAAAATAATTTATTTGTTTATATTCAGAAGCATTTTATTTTCCCCGAAGTCCATTTCCTGTATAAAGTTAGTCAAGGCACCAAAGTGTACCTTAACAGTTACACTTGCTTTTGTTGGTATTTTTTGCTACTGTGTCTTTAAGACATTGCAAATGACACCTATGATATCTAAACATGAGAGGTCATTTGTTATTGTGCTTTTGGATGTCATAGCGCTCACTGTTGAAAAATGCCCGGTTTTGTGCCTCTCAGATTTCTGAGGTCCTAAACACAAAGCATCTTGTGTGTATTGCGTGTCAAAACCGTGATGATTTCTTTTATATCTTTTATATCAAAAGAGCAGAGAAAATCTGATTTTGATGTGGTGATGTGACCCTTTTAAGATTATTGGTCTTTATAAATCTTTGACTGATAATCCTGACTGAGATGATGCAGAATTATTACAGGAATATTTAAAGTGATTATTGAGTTCATATACAAGGATGGTGTGCTTGTTTTGAAGCCCTTTCATCTCTAAATTCTGTTTAAACCAAATGAGAAAACTCCAACAAGAAAGATCCTTCTCTCTGTTTCTTCTCTTTCATGTTTTTTTGCTTCATATTGACCCACAGAAGATGAAATGGGTTGCAAAAATATAGTGATCGATGGATAGATAAAGAAAAAAGCAGGAAGGATGTAGGGGACTAAAGAGAGAACTGTGGGTTATAGAGGTGGAATGGAGTGATTGTAAGAGTGACGCGAACTCCCAGCAGGCATCTGTCCTTCCCTGACCACTGTTTTGTCACCAAACTTAATAAAAAATGGACAGAGAAAGAGGTCTGAGATTCTGTAATCTTGGTTTAGGTTGTTCTCCTTACATTTAATAAAATGTTTTCGTTTTCTATCTATAAGGACATTGAGCGACTGCAGTTTTGCGTTTAAAACGAGAAAGCCCCGCCCACAAGCAGTGACATCATTCACAGTCATTTGAATCAGGTTGAAATAGTTTTCTATGAAATATTGCACAGTTTAGCTCTCGATTCAGTATTTTATTCTTTATTTGCCTCTCCTGCAAGAAATATTTCCTGTTTATTTTTTATTCAGAAGCTTCATTAAACTGTCATTTAGAAAGTGTTAATCTGGTGGGTACTGGAATATTCCCTAAATGTACATTAAAGAAGGGAGCAAAGTCGTTTCTAAAATCCGGAATGCGTACAATAAGCAACCATGTAGCAACCACATAGCAATTTGCTAAAAACAGTTTAGGACACATTGACTGCATGGAAACAGACCCTAACATCAGTGCCGATTCTAGACTTCTGGGGGCCCTACTCGGGGGGGGTTATGAATGAAACGCATTTGTCCATGTTTCACTCAGTCTCGAATCGCGCTCGCGGAACAGTGTCTCTTCACGGTACGCTTTCAACAAGACTGTACGACATTCACATTACATGATTTGACAGATTTTTACGTAGAAAGGGCAACAGCGCACCTCATTAAAATAAATAATCATTCATGTTTTCATAACCGCTGGACAAATTCAAAAACAAAACTAAAATTAAATCATCTTTGAGAGCAAGGGGGCCCCCTGGTGTTTCGGGGGCCCTACGCAGCTTGCGTATTTTGCATATAGGGAGGATCGGCTATGCCTAACATCATAGCATTGGAAATTTTGTATGGGTAAACAGCACTTACAGTACATTTTCTTTAGAAAATGTAAAAGTTTTAGTTTCATTACTGTCACTTTTTAGCCTAAAGCACACTTCTAGAATGACTATATGCTGCTCAGCTTTTCCTGTCATTTAGTTTTCATCTGGTTGACGTCAGAGGCAGGACTGAACTAATTGACATCATTAGACTGAAACATAAAGCATGTGGATCTCAAACCAGTTCTGTGTGTGTTTTGTCATTGTGTGTGTGTGTGTGTGTGTGTGTGTGTGTGTGAGTTGAATCTTAAAACAAACTGCTGTCAATTTTAATCAGTGAGACACACAAATCCAGCCTCAGGTAGACCAATTACAGACAGACACGCTCCACGGACGAGGCTAGGCCCTCCTCACAAACACACACACATATACGCTGTTGAAAGAATAGGAAAGAGGTTTTTATGGTGTTTTGCAAAGCAAAAATAATTGAATTCAGTTGTGCTGAATTTTAAAAAATGCAAATGCAGCCCATTGTTTGCAAATATTTATAGTTGCGATGGATGTAGAGCTCAGTGAGTCAATATGTTCCCGTTGCTTATTTGTTTTGTTGAAACAGCATACTTCCCAGCCGTCCATGTGAAAGCGATATATTTCACTATTGAATGGTTATGTGTACATCAATGAGTCACATGGATTCTCATGTGCAAAATCAATCCATATGCAAGCATCCTATTACTTCTAACACACCAGTCTGAACTGTCATTTTTTGTTTGTTTCCTCAGGGTGGAAAGATCCCTGTGAGATGGACCTCGCCGGAAGCCATCGCATACAGGAAGTTCACGTCTGCTAGTGACGTCTGGAGTTACGGTATCGTCATGTGGGAGGTGATGTCTTTTGGCGAGAGGCCCTACTGGGACATGAGCAACCAAGATGTAAGGCCTTTTTTATACAAAACAGAGTATGACTGTCTATTACTGGCTTTGAGTCACACTAGCCCTGAGTAAACTGAATAAAATAAAATATAAAACTACAATATATACTATTCTAATATAAAATAATATATAATATAATATAATAAAGTGGGATAAAACCTGCTTACAACTCAAATGAACCCATGCCGTTGTGCGCAATCATTGTCTTTGGAATGATGCATATATGAAAAGTGAACCTATACAAGAGCAAAAGCTTTCCATGAGGTGGTAACTTTTCAAAAGGTACACATTTGTACCATATATACCCTTAATGGGTGCATTATTACCATAAAGATACATAGTAGTACCTCAATGGTACATTTTAGTAACTTTTGAAAGGGTACCACCCCAGTGACAGCTTTTGTATCTTTTTTTTCTGAGAGTGTAAAGCTTTGCAGTGTATTTATGATGTATGTAAAGTGTATGATTAACTATAAAGCACCAAACACCCTTTGGCTTTACCTCTGAATTTCATTGCCGTGAGTCTCATTTCCTGTCAATCTCTTTGGCTCTAAGGCTCACTACTTTGAGTCTTGCCGTCTCTCTGTCTGAATCTATAGTACCTGCCTCAGAGTCTTTCTGCATTCAAATCTCCCAGCATCTGTCTTTCAGAGCAGACAATTTTTTTTTTTTCTGTTCGAATTGTGAATATAGCAGACTCATTCTAGGCTCTCTGGGGATTTTTGGAAAATCCTGCCAATGAAACCATAAATTCCCCAATCCTTTTAGCATCCAGTTAACACATCAGAGATGCAGAACGAACCCTGAGGAACTTGTGACTGTAATGACTGCTGAACTCACAATTGTAAAAAACGATTTGAGCATTCAGTGATTCAGTACATTCAATCAAAGAAAATAAATTAAAGAAATGAATTACTTTCTACTTTCTGTACATTCTCTGTGCGTACTTTCTTTTTTTTTTTTCAAAGATTGTCTCCGTTGCTCAAAAGAGGTGTTGTTTGTCATGCTTGACCGACTTAATTTCTTATGTTGCATTTGAAAATTCTGTAGTTAAATATTCATGAAAACCATCTTATGAAGGACTCAGACTGTAAAGCTGTCTGATTCTGGTTTGCAAAATGTTTAACATCTTGTGACATGCACCAAAAACAAAACAACAGAGCTCCCATGTTATACTCTCTGACATAGAAGAAGTGCTAAAGGTAAAGTAGTTGATAAGTTGGATAATGTTTCTTCGGCCTAGAGTTTTTAATGATCATCCAGTCCCAAATTACAATTAAAAGATCATATCAGCATAATGAAACAGCAGGACATCTGCAGCACTGAGTGCCCACATCTCACCACGGTCCTGTGGAATCAGTTTAGGAGAAAAACGGCCGGCATGGAGGGAGCAGAGAGTATTGATCCTCAAATCAATACTCTCTAATTTAAAATAATTTAAATTCATGTTTGTGCGAAGCAAAGATCTCTAGATTGGTATGCAGAGGCTAGACAGTGTATTTGTTTGTTCATTTGATGTTTACTTTTGTCAGAGAGAATCAGAGAGAGAGGAATATGGGAAGAGTCCAGTGTTTGAGGAGGGTAGAACAACAGATCACGTTTAAAGATTAATGATGTGGGTTGTTTGTTTATGTTGCAATGTCTATGCAACAAAACTGATATATGTGGCAATTTATGTGTGATAAAACAATATTGTGTGCTTTTAGATCTTTTTTTTTTTTTTTTATGGTATTATTTATTTCTTGTTACTGAAGCACTCAAAGCCAGTTTCTCACAATGCGTTTGAATTCTCTAAAAGATTCATTTAGTTTTGACCACTTATTTATTCACTAAAAGATTTGTTCATGCAAATGATTTGTTCACTGATTTGTCCAGTGACCCTTTCTGAGTGAATCTTTTAGTTAGTAATCATTTATTACTTAGGATTGATTTATTTAGTGTTTTATCCATAACATTTGCATGTCGAGGTGGTACCCTTTCAAAGGGTGCTAAGTTGTACAGTTTAGGTTATAATATGTACTTTTAAAGTACTAATATGTACCATTTAGTGGTAAATAAGGTACAAAGATGATAGATTTTATATCTAAGGGGACGTCCCATTGACAGTTTTGTACCTTTTTTTCCACTAAAAGACTCAAGAATATGTTTAAGTGTCAGATACTTCCTCCAGAAATGACAACAAAGCAATTAATGACAATAATATCTGTCTGTGTGTAGGTGATCAATGCTATAGAGCAGGATTACAGGCTGCCGCCCCCCATGGACTGTCCCACTGCTCTCCACCAGCTGATGCTCGACTGCTGGCAGAAAGATCGGAACGCTCGGCCGCGCTTCACGGATATCGTCAATACGCTCGACAAACTCATCCGCAACCCCACCAGCCTTAAGGCAGTCGCCAGTATACCCACTATGTGAGTCTCATTATACACACATTTTGTTTTTTTACTATGGTGGAAACCTTTATTTATGCTAATAAAGCTTTTTTAAAGAAATTAACATTTTTATATCAAGGACTTTTACATTGTTACAAAATATTTCTTTCTACTGTTGTTCTTTTGAACTTTCTATTCATCAAAGAATCCTGAAAAAAAATGTATCTTGGTTTTCACAAAAAAATATTAAGCAGCATAACTGTTTTCAACCACAACTGTTTTCAATACCAGATCAGCATAATTAAATAAATTCTGAAGGATTAAGACTGGAGTAATAAGTGCTGAAAATTCAGCTTTGCTGTCACAGGAATAAATTACACTTTCAAATATATTTAAATAGAGAACAGTTATATTATACTGTAATAATATTTCACAATTTTACCGTATTTTTAAATGCATCCTTGGTAAGCATAAGAGACTTTTTTTCTCTTAACGACCTTAAACCTTTGAACTGGAGTGTATGAGAAAATGTGTGCACTTGATATTCCGCTTTCATGTTGCTTATCTGTTGACTAGGGTAAGATAGTTTTGAATAATTTTCCCAAATCACACATACCATTTAATGTGACATTTTATCATTTGAATGGCTTTACTTGCAGAAATATTTGTAAAAATTCAGCTTTGCCATCACAGAAATAAATGATATTTTACAATATATGAAAAAATTCACAAACCCTAAACATTTAGCGTGTTTTCATATTAAACTAGACATGTTTAGTCCACTTATGAAGCTGTTTTCTTTCTGGGAAAAACGAGTTTGGTGGTCCCTACAAAGACAGTAACCTTGACACCCAAGGTTGAGTGATGTAACTCCTCTTTCCCCATGCATCTCACTCTCTGTTTCTCTCTCTTCCTCCAGTCCGTCCCAGCCATTGTTGGACAGGTCCATCCCAGACTTCACCACCTTTAGTTCTGTAGAAGACTGGCTGGCCGCCGTCAAGATGTCTCAGTACAGAGACAACTTCCTCAACTCTGGCTTCACATCCCTACAGCTGGTCACCCAGATGACTTCAGAGTGAGTGTGAACTCTTAAGTGTCTTTTCTAAATAATTTCTACAACTTCTCAACATTGGGGTTTCATTATTGTCAATAAAGTTCTTTCAAAAGGCCGTATTCACATTAGATGGTCAAGCTGGTCTGCCAGTACAAGCCATTTTGGAATGTGGTTCTATCCAGGCTGACCCAACATGATCTATCAGGTCAAACTTGGCCCCAAAAGCTGATTAATCAACTAATGTACAACCTAAATTACCATTGAGTTTCTAAATAAGCTGGTCGTCCAACTCATAAACCACCCAAACCAGCTTGGAACTGTCTAAAGCATTGTTTCTAACTAAGTTGGAAAAACCAGGCTAGTTTAAGGTAGTTAAACTAGTTATACATTCTGAAGTGTTCTGAAATGTGGATATCTAGCTCCTCATTAGCTTAGCCAAGATGGTCCACCAGCTCTAACCAGTTTGACTGACATGGTGAATTTGACCCCATCATCTAGTCAACCACCTAAACCAGCTTGGACCAGCTGATGATCAGTCTCACAGTTTCTAAGGTTCTTCTAATTGTTAGGCTTTTATCATTGTTACTAAAGCTTTATGCTGCTGGTAGAACCAGGCTTGAGCTAGTTAAACTGGGCAACCATTCGGAAGTGTTTTAAAATATGGTTAGCAAGCTCATCACCAGCTTTGTCCACCAGCTCTAACCAGGTTGACCGACATGGTCAGATTGGCCCTAATATCTAGTCATAAAACTAGTCAACATCCTAAACCAGTGTGAACCAGCTAATGGCCAGTCTAACCATTTCTAAAGTTCTATTTATTAGATTTCTTTGGCTTTAATCATTAGTCAGCCAAGGTGGCCTACCAGCTTTAAATTGGTTGAACTAACCCCATCAACAGGTCATACAACTAGTCAACCACTCAACTACAACCTTATTTCCCAAAACTGTGACTTTTGACCTCGTATTTGCAACTTTATTTCCTATTTTAAACTTCATCTTAGTTTCCTGCGTATTTTTTTACTCTTGAGTTGGAAACAGGCTTTCATAGATCACACTGTTAACAACATCTGTTTCAAAAATCATTGTTTACAACAATTATGCGTCTTATTCAGCCGTCCTGTCATATTATTGGTTTATGTCAGATGATGTCTAATGCTTGGTGAGTTAGTTTGTTGTGTCTGTGTGACGGGGGATTAAAGCTGGTTTCAGATTTCCAACAGTCATTGATCACTGAATGCCAAGTGGCCAGATATCTCAGCAAACTTGTTTAATATCGATTTATGAACCATACACATACAGTAGGATTACCATGAATCACTAAGGTATGTGTGCTTGTGTTTTGACTTGAGTCGCTATCGAGCGAACAGGTGGATATGCTGTTGATGATGTTTAAAACACGTCTCCTGGTGTTTTGTTCGTGCCGGGAAGCGTACTGTGAGGTGTAGCGTCTCTGACGCTCTGATTAATGCAGCCGCTGCTCACAGAGAGGGTCTGCGCTTAATTAGCAACATAAGTATGAGCCCACGCATAAACAGGAAGTTAAATGCAAGCAGCTTTCATGTGTTAATGCTGTTTGGTCTCACATCTATAAACCTGTAGGGGCTCTGAGCTGTTCCTCTCTCTCTCTCTCTCTCTCTCTCTCTCTCTCCTCTTCCTCATTTATATGTATACTTGGCTGTGAATCAGTCAATGTGTGTAAAATCTCTCTCTCTGTGTTGTTTGAATGGTTCGTATATATTGATAGTACAGGTTGTTCTCATTCATAATAAAGGCTCCTCTCGGAGGATAGCGGAGTAAATTGAGCGTTTATTCAGAGTTGCTCTTTTGTCTTTGTAATTTAAAGGAGGCAATGAAACAGTCACCTAAAATCACATGCTGTAGCAGACATGTCTTGATCTTACTTGGCCTTTTGATGTGCTGACCGTTAATCTAATAACAGGAAGTGCTTGTCGAGTGTTGCATAGGGAGAGAAGGGTTTCCTGTACCATCTGGCAAAATGCTTTTAGTGGATTTTAGTTTTTACTACTGTTAGAATAAAAAAAGAAACCATGTTTGTTAGTATGGATTATAATGACGGACATTGGCAACAGGCAGATGTGTAATAGCAAGGTGATCAACCTTATTTTTATTATTATGGTCACACTTTATTTTAAGGTCCAGTTCTCGCTATTAACAAACCATTAACTACGACTTTTGTCTCAAACTCCTAATTTCCTGCTTATTAATAGTTAGTAAGCTAGATGTTAAGTTTAGGTATTGGGTAAGATTAGGGATGTAGATATGATCATGCAGAATGCAGTGGCGAGCGGTTACTTTTTTAACTGGGTATGCTGGGTGATAAGATTTTTTATTCCCAGTGAATAGGAGTTAAAATTCCCACCCGGGTGACACTAATAACAGACCATGCAAAATACCAAAAAATATTTAAAATATTGCAAAGTAACGTTGCAACCTTGCAAACAATAATAAAATCAGAGAAGGAATTTAACTGTAAGCGACACGAGCATACGCAAAACAAAGGGAACAAATATGATGTTTGTTATTATTAAAATTTTATATAGCCCACGTTTTTAATAAACTTTTTTTTTTTTTACCGCTTAGGCAATAACGTTGACAATAACGTATACCTTCAAATACGTTGTCTATGACCAAAAATGTAAGAAGATATGTTTTCAGTGGACTTTTAAAATGTGCTTTGCTTGAGAAAACAAAAATATACGGTTACAGTGTTTTTTTCTTTTGATTTAGTCGAGTTGGTTTTGCATCAAACACAATGGGATTTTCGTCAATCGAGATCTGACAGCAACAGCACATTTTTCCGCTTGGGCGAGCGCTTTGGCGAGCGGACAGTTTACCTCGCACATTAAATCAGCCGCAGACCAGCAAATCACTGAGAACGCGCTATAATCCTGACGAGTCATAGCAATAGAGCGGAGGCGAGAAAGCTGCGGAGAATCCGCTCGCCCGGAAGCAACCGCAACTGGTAGATTTAAAGAAAATTACTGCCGTTTGGCAAATAAATAATTGTACGTACTTATTCCTAACTCTTTAAGCTTTAAGTTACATTTCAAATGACAAGGGATCAACTTATAATTGTCACACTCCTGTGGACTGCTGATTGTGGTTTCTCCCTCTGTGTCCTTATTTGGTTGTTCCTGTTCTCATTATTAGTTAATCACCTCATTGTGCTCACCTGTCTGCCCCTCGTTATCTGCCCTATATCAGTTCCTGTCTCGTGTATTCAAGTTTGTCGGTTATTGTGAATGTTACCCCGAGTGTGTTGTGTCTACATTAAAAATCATTATTGGAATCATTGTCGTCCTCGTCATCCTGCCTGCCTCCACACACCGTGTCGTGACAATAATCATGTTTATATGAATTATTCCGTAAACTTATTCTCTCAATGGCCTGGATATGCGGAGCATTCTCAGCTCATATGGACGGAACGCCACTGGCAGAATATGTGATTTATAAGTACTAATAAACAGCCAATATGTTAATAATAGGCATGCTAATAAGCAACTAATTAATAAGTTAATAGTGGAAATTGGTCCATACTAAAGTGTTACCTTATTATTATTAACAAAGTTAGAGGGCAGTATATTTTAAAGTTTAATATATTAATGTTTTATATATTATATACTATATATTAAGGTTTAAGTTTTGTTTTTATATCATTTTTATATTTTATTTTATTTTAATTTAATTATATTTTAATTTTAATAATTTTTATATTTTTGTGAATTGTTACTTGATTGTGAATTTTACATTTTTGTTGAATTTATATTATATTACTGTTCATATTATACTTTGTGAATTGCTCATTATTAATTAATATTTGTTTATAATACATTAGTTATGTTCATTTATATTTGAAATATTAAAAAATGTGTTAGTAAGTGTTAGATGCATTTCCTTATTGCAACTAATGTAATGTAAATGTAGCCTGAACATCATCCATTGTGCAATGATAACAGCAGCTCCTTTAACTTGGAAAAATACTGTTGAATTGGTAAAGAGTGATGCAAATGTACATTATAGAGCTATTTAGTGTTACTTTGTTTTTCTTGTGTTCGCAGGGACCTGTTGAGGATAGGTGTGACTCTAGCCGGCCATCAGAAGAAAATCCTCAACAGCATTCAGTCCATGCACCTGCAGATGTCCCAGTGCCAGACAGGCACAGTGCTGGCATGACTACAGGGGGCGCCGGACGACGGGCCGGGCAGCTTGCGGAAGAATTACCAGCGGGTGAGCCCAATCCCATCGGAGCGCGCCAGAATAGAGACTATCATCCTGATCTGAGAACGTGTTTCAGGAGAGGAACCATTATCCCATATCCAACAGACCAGATCGGAACAGGACCGCCGGGACTCACAGGACGTCTGTTAACCCGTCGGCCGTTTGCCTCTTCAGTCTACATTTACAGGGGAAACCGAAGAAGCGGATTCTTTTTGTTCTCTTCTCATCATTAATTACCTTTACGATGCTTATCCAGAAATCACAGTGACTGCTCAGATTCCGAGACGTCTAGCATTGTTTTCTACAAGGTTCTTTCGTTCTTCTTTTTTTCAGTTTTTTTTCCACTATAAACCTTCTATCGTCACTGCTTCCCACTTACACTACCTGTCGATCTCGGTATGGCTGACGTTGCCAAAGGACATCCTGTATGCCTGCGTCCCATCCCTAGGCCATACGAGAGTAAATGATGTATATCTTTAAATAAATACGAGTTTATCTTCAGAGTAAACCTTCATATTGAAGGTGAAGTGTAACGGACCTCTGTGTAAATACCCTCTTCTTCTGCTTGCATTTTTGGCAATGTTGCGCGTTGGACAAGAACCGCCGATTCTGCAGAACACGAACTCACTTACGTCAGCGCGACGCCACGAGAACAATCTGGGATGAACTCTGACTCTGTCGATGTTGTGTAAATATCAGTTAGTTGTGTATAAACTAGCGTTAAAAAGATATACTTTAGGTGAAAAAAGCTACGCATTCAGGCCACTAAACAGTGTTTATTGTAGGTGTTTCCACGCTGATGAGCACTTACGTGTACAGCTTTTCTTTCTTCCACCTCTTCTTCTTCTACTTCTTGTAGTTGTTCTTGTTAGTTTCGTGTCAGAGTGTTTGAATGCGTCGACTAGCGTTGGGAAGGTGCATCGTCACCGCCTAAACTAGCTAATACACTTAAATGTAGTTCCACTGTTAATAAGCTGTACTAATGTTGGTCTTACAGGGTCTTTAAAACCGCTAATCTGTTTCCAAGCATGTGTTTACATGATAAGCCAACAGAAAGGTTGCAGGCAGGAAACGAAGAGACTTGCGAACCCGCTGCCCTTCACCACTTTTATCAGGCCGAGTCACTCTCTCGGCTCCAGATGCTTCTCGATGACATTGCTAAATGCGGTACATGTTCTTTTGTGTCATCAGCTCTTCATTTATTTGTGTGTGTGTCTGGATTGAACATCTGTGTGACCCCTTATGAACAGATGCCTAACGCCACCCCATTGAGCACATTCTACTTAAGCAGTCAGTTAAGCACTGTGTAACGCACAAACACACACACACACACACACACACACACACGGTCTGTTGATGGCTTTGGGCTGTTCCTTTTTGGTTGCCATGGAGAAATAGCATCAACTGAATGCTAATAATAATAATAATAATTAAAGATTATTATTATTATTATTAAATGTAACACTATACATTAAGGTCCAATTTATCAATATTATATTCATGCGTTATATATAACATTTAACAATACTTTTTAAACCATTTTTTAATCTAGATTAATGTTAATTTCTAAAACTACTAAAACATTCAGGTTGTATGAATGAATATGAACATATTACATTAATCTAGATTAGTAGATGCCATAAAAAAATGCTAATTGTTCATATGCATGAACTTGTTAATGAAGTTAACTTTATTAAGTGTTACAAATAAAATTATTATTTTATTTATTTTATTAATATAGTACCATTCATAGCTAAAATGTAGCTAAACGGTGCCTACAAATAATAAAATATAATTTTATTAAAAAAAAATGTAACAACTAGAAGTGAAAAATAATAAATAAATAAAAAGTGAATTTAAATGTAAAAAAAAAAATCAATGTAGTTACTTAAAGAGACCTAAAATACTCAAACGCCAACTTAAAAGTAAAAATAATAAAACTATGAATGATTGGGAGCTTGCCTAATCTTTGTGTGCTGCAAATGTTGGCTTTTATGATAAAATCACTTGCAGCATTCCTCATTTGTAAGTTGCTTTGGATAATAAAGTGTTGTAAATGAATAAATATAAAAGTAATTGGTAAAATGTTCCAGCTTTTGGGGTCATAATGGCTAAAAGCAGCTCCACATGATCTCATAAGGTTTAACATTAAAGGACCCCAATGTAAGATTTGAAACATAATGGTTTGTAGAGGTTAGCAGCTGTACCATTAATTCGCCTGATGTGAATGTGTGTGTGTAATGAATAAGCTGCTACATTGCCTGTAAGTTAATGAGACTCATGGTTTATGGTTATTCTCTGCGAGCAACATGCAACACACACACACAATCATCACGCAGATATACCCAAGGTTTTGCACCTAATTGACTACAATGAATTTCACCATGGCAACCAAAGAGCGTATTGGCTCTTTGTTGAGGATGACACACTTTTACAGCTTCTGCCAAGAGGCATATTCTTTTTATGCACACACACACACACACACCTCAGCTGTATTACATTAAAGAAAGTGAATCTTTTCCTCCTACATACGACGGTAGTAGCGATAATGTCTGGCTCTATAAAAGCATTAGTGCGAGATGAAGACATCTTCCTCTCTGCCTCTGTGTAAAGGCAGCTCAATTAATGATCACAAAGTATCATCCCCGTGGCCTGCGTCCAGCTCGTTCGCGGCGGGGCGTAACCAAGCTGTCCGGCGTCCTGCCGTATGGCCCAGCTGAAAAATGGCTGACCTGCGCTCAAAGCCGTAGATACGCTGGGGAGGGTGGAGCATGCTGGGATACCTGCGGGTACAGCACACAAACTGAGGAGAGTGATGAATGAGCTGAAGCAAATCAGAGAATGAAAGAGAAAACAAGAGCGAGAGATGGCAGAGAGTGCAGGATTGAGAAAGAAATGAAGAGAAATGGAGAATGAAGAAAAAAGAAAGACATTAGAGATTAGAGTATTAAGTCAGCATGAAATTAAAATTTGACCCTATTTTCTTTCTAACGACATGATTCTTTCAACTTCTCCCCTCCAACCACACAAGTTATTCTCTATTCTTTTCACAGTCCAATCATGGTGGTTAAAATCAAGTCACATCATCATATTGTTTCACTTATAATTACTGCATATTGAAGTGCAATGGGTTGCAGATGCATATGGCATTTCATGTTGACTTCCAGGTGTGTGTTGTTGAGAGAGGGCTTACAGTTTAACAGTGGTTGACCAATATGGGTTTTGGAAAATGCCAATATCTAGAACAGGGTAGTGTTTTTTTTTTGTTTTTTTTTTACTGATACGTTTCCACAAAAATATTGAGCAGCACAATGTCTTCAACAATGAAAAGAATAAGAAATATTTCTTGAACCGCAAAGGAAAGGAAATTAATTTCTGAAGGATCCTGAATAATGGCTGCTGAAAATTCAGCTTTGCCATCACATGAATAAATGACATTTTAAAATATATTAAAATTGTAAATTATAATAATTATTCACAATATAATTTTCTTTTACTGTATTTTTGATCAAATAAATGCAGCCTTGGGGCCAGATTTACTAAAGAGGGCCAATTAGCGTTTAAGCGCAATTCCATAAAAGTGCAGACGGGAGGAGAAAATTCTGCAGGTGATTTACTAACAATGCGCACATTAAAGAACTCAGACGCAGCCAGATCATTTCCATAATGACCAGTGAAATCTACCAAGAGCAGCGCAAATTACCGCCTACTATAAGACATGTTTTTTGGGCGCTAAATAATGGTGCAAATACCAGTAATTTGACGAGCGCAAACATTAGTAAATCGCGTTGCATGGTTAATTTTAATACTCTCCTCCTATAAATTTTGCGTCTGAAAGAGAAACTCTTACAAATGCATAGGCCTATTATAAGCTCAGGCACAAAAAATAACTGTGTCCACGCCTTTTCAGCGCTAATTCTTCACTGCTCATCTTTAGTAAATCCTGACAGTAGCCTACTATTTTAACGCCAAAAGACGGTTTACACTAGTGCAAACTGTTAGTAAATCTGGGCCTTGGTGAGCATAAGAGACTTATTTTAAAACGATTTAAAAAAATCTTACAGACCTCAAACTTTTGTCCAGTGAAAAGCTTTAGATTTTGGAATGCTATTTGTGTCAATCGGTCATGTGTACATACAAAATGGACAAATAATCATCCTGGTCAATATATCCATCCATCTATCACTATATAGAGTAAAACACATGGCAGCGCTTCACCATCTGCACAGACAGATTGAAGCTTCACCATAATGCACACGCGCAACCATACAGATGTAGTATGATTTATATTTGAATATGTACATGAACACTATTGTTTCTATTACGAATGTGTCTCTCTTTTTCTTATTTTAACCTCTCATTTTTGCACATGTCCAACAACTCAATCGAGGATAATCTTCATCTCTTGCAAGGGTATCCTCCTCTTCCTCCTCCTCTCGGAGGGTTGAGGGAACAGGCAGGGAGTGAGAGGATGAACGGAAATGATTTGAGTCTAATTTTATCGCTCTTTGCCTGGAGTGTCGACACATTGTGGAGTCTGGTGAGCGTTTGGCAGTGGATCAGCGGCGATGCTGTTCCCGTGCCAACTGAAGTCTGAGTGGTGCATGTGTTCACTAGCACGGCTGAGACTTCACAAGCACAAACAAAAAGCGCATTTGGAACAAACAAAAGCGTCGTCTGACACCGCCGGTAGGAACGAGCCCCGTACTTTCTGCTTTTTGTGCGTTTCAAACGATACTTTCATGATAAAGTGTTGGAGCATTATTTTAGGCAACCGAAACTAAAAGTCAGAGAGTCAAAGGGTTCGAGAGACTGTTGATATTACTAGCATGGCATGGATACTAGCTCGCAGTTTTGTAGATAGCGAACGAAGGAAAGCCCCCCTCACCTCACCGAGGCTGTATAGTTAACACTCGTTTCTTGTGATGAGTATGTCAGAGTTTGAAACTGTAACTTTCTGAGAACTATTGTACTGAAATGCACTCAATAAAGACCTTGGAAAAGCTGAAGTCGAGCGAGTGATATCTTCATCCGGAGAGAGCTCTTGATAACGAGGCAAGCCGCGGGTCAAACGTGCAGCCGCTCCACTGCTGTTGTAAAGGGAGTGTGTTTGCGAGGGCTGTTAGGAGTTTACAGACGCTCTCGAGACACTCGAGTCTGCAAAACAACAGCGGTGTGCTTACCAAATACCATGGCGGCTGAAAGAGATAGCGAGGAACACATTTTTAGAGTAATAATTTAACTAACAAGGCATTAAATTCATGTAGTTGTCCAGCGATGCTCTGCTTTAGTAATTATTCCTGCCAAAACAATGTAGTTTATCAAATAATTAAGAAGTGACAGTGTTGTCTGGAAGAGTTTGGGGTTAGATTGTTCAGTGATTTTTGAATTTAGGCCTATATGTGTGATTGTTGCAACAAACATATAAAGTGAAAGATTAAATTATTCCGAAATGAGACGTGATGTGTTTTTCACTTTTCAGGGGTGTTCTTTGAGTTTTGAGTTCCTCACAGGTTGATGAGACAATGGAATTTGAGGATCGTGTTTTATCTCTATGGAGTTCAGGCACTTTGACGTTTCACCCAAATATTTTATTTTATTTTATTTTTGCCGTTCCACAAATGAAGCATGATATCAATTTAGATAAAACAGTAATTTTATCTTTTTTATGCTAATTTTATTTTAGGGATGTCTATTTAATGCATGCATTTAGTGTGATTAATTTTTATATTAGTTATCAATTATTATTAGTATAATAATAACTAATAATAGTAAAATGTATTACTACTAATAATAATATCACTAAATTATAAATCAAGATAAACTGATAAATTGACAAACTAAGAGAAATTGACATTTCTAAGATCAGCATAAATTTAGCATGAAAAAAATCTAACTGCAAATCGTCTCTTTTTAAAAAAAAAATTGCATGCATCATTTGTGCAATAGCAAAAATAAAATTATAATAATGTAAATTTAATGCATGCATTTAGTGTGATTAATTGGTATATTAGTTATCAATTATTAGGTATTAGTAGTATACGAAGAATGTATTACTAATAATAATAATTAATGACATTAAATGATACATTAAGATAAATTGACATCCCTAAGATCAGAATAAAATTAGTATGAAAAAAGATCATCTTTAAAAAAAAATAAAATAAAACATTACATGCATAATTTGTGCAACAGCAAAAATGAATAATATTATAATAATTAAAAATGTATTATAATCATGCAATAAAAATGCATTTAATCATGTACACCTGTCTACAACTTTTTAAACTTTTAAGTCTGTCTTGTTTTTACAGTCAAATTACTTTTGCTTTTAATCATGCACCTTTTGTAAGAAATTCTTCTACCAGCGTAACAGTTAACATTTTTAGCATGACCATTATGTTTTTACAAGTCACCTTCATGTTCTTTTAAGATCAGTCCTAAACAGACACACTTGTGTCTGCATTCACACAGTTCCTTAAAGTATATGTGTGTCCTAAATTTACCCTGGAAAAACAAATTTGATT